GGGGGTGCTGCATGCACATGGACACCTGTCAAACCCAAAATGTTTATTTCTATTTCAGATCTCTGAAACAATCACTTACATCCTCATTGGCTTCTTACATTCCAGGTGTGGTACGAAACATGACACCAATCAATCCTTTAAAAACAGACCAAAACGTCTGCCCACACAAGGTACTCAGCTTTCAGAAAAATAACAAGAGTCCGCATCACCCAGGCAAGGAGCTGTGCATCGCAGGAGCGCTTGTTAAATGAGCTAAATCCGCATGGAATTTCACCTACAATATAAGCGAGATAATTAACTTCTTACCAATGTGCATGAAAAATAGGGTCAATTCTTGAATAGATTTGGACATGTAACATTAGTTTTCCGGATGGAGATGGAAGAGACTGGATAGACCACATGACTGAGCAAAGATATGGGTTCAATGCCTGGGGAATTTGACTGCAAACCCTGCAAAGCACAAAGCCACCTGCAGAGTTTGCATGTTGCCTCAGGTGTGTTGTCTGGTAGTATTAGCCCAAAAGACCCAGCAGAGTGGCCCACTAAAGCAGGTACCTTTCTGAAAGGACCCCCCCCCCCCCAAACATGGTTGGTAGATGCCTCAGATTTCATGCAGAAACCTGCTGGAGAGCTCTTGACTCAAGGCTCTCATCCTGCCATCCGACTCTTCCACCATCACTCTAATGAGGTCAAGGTGGAATACAACCAGGTATTTTTTCAAAGGCTTCCCCTCATTATAAATCGAACACTTCTTCCAGCCACTCTCCAGCCAAGCCGGGCATTTGAATAAACCGTGCTCTGATGTGTTTCTTTGGTCATGCTTGCAGGGGGATTTACATATTTTCCATGGCAGGTGAAGAGATAGAGTGGACTGATGTGAATTAATACTGACAGGGACGTCCTAATCTCCCATAGACCAGGCTGGAGAGCCAGGACGGCGGTATGCATACCAAGCAGGAGGCCTGCCTGTGTTTGCCTGCCCCTCATTACCTGTACACCAGTTCTCCTGTAGAACTCAGATTCATGAGTAAGAAACACATATTTCCAAACATGCTGAAAGCTTGATCCATCATGCTTTTGTTTCGTCTAAGCCGTATGTCTTTTGGAAGAGTCTTTTCAGGCATGTAAACAATATTATGCCTCTCAAAAGGGTTGAGGGAAGTGTAAATCGCACACGTGTACAAACCTGACACATTGATGGATCTGGTCGATCTTTCTGTTATTAATGTGGGCATCTTTCCTGTGGAGAACCTGTGCCAAACCTCATAGAGTTGCCATCGTCGAGTAGAAGAGACACCTGCCAAAAAAGATCTAAGCATTTTCAGGTCCGCTGCCTGATGGTATTTGAATTCACGGAAGATGAAAGATGTTCCAGAGAGAAGACTCAAAAACAATTGCTCTGACAGATGTTTTCCTAGACTAGAGTCCACAAGGACACATGGCCGGCGTTGGAGAACAATGTAGACACATTTTCAGCACCCAGTCGCAAACATAAATAGATGTTAAAAACGATGCATAAAAACGAATCTACAGAAAACACAAAGCACATTTTACTGTTTCCCATCAAACCCAACTTAGCAGAGAGAGAATGACCCTGGAGCTAAGCTGTCATTCAAGGACTGTAGAATAATTCAAGGAGAAAAGAAAAAGGGTTAAACTTCTTGGATCGACGTCACGTTTAAATTTATAATAAAACACATACAAACAGCTACAGGAAGTTGAGCACCACCATGCATACTAATGCCAGCTGAAGGATAGGTGACGACTGTGGAAATGAGCAACCAGACCTGCTTCCTGGCGTTTGATAAGGTCACACATGACGCACTTGGTATGGTGCTCAATCTGTTTTCAAAAACGAACAAATGGCCGTGATTTCTGCCCGCTGGCCGCACTGGATAGAGAAGATGTTTATTGGTCATCAACATTTTATTAAAAAGGCTTAAGCGCAAAGTATAGTTATTATTCCTTTTAAGTGACATTTGGGGACAAATTTAATAAGATCTGGTCTTTTCTCTATGCTTTAACTGTCAAATAAACCCAATTATACCCCTTTTGACCATGTGACACACTGCTTCCTGCTGTTGCCAGTGTGAAACATAAAAAGGACCACAAATGAATCCAGTGTTTAGGTCCTGTTTACAGTCTCAGGAGAGAAAAGGGGGCTCTCTACCCCACAGCCCAGCCGTAATGACTTGATCTGCCTCTCCCAACCTGCCGGAAAAGGGTCTGCAATCCAAGCAGCAGAGGGCCGGATCTCGGGCTTCATTACTCGGGTAATTAGCTGCTAGCTTCTATAAAAATGGGTCCCAGCAGGATCCCGCCCGGCTGCAATAATCACTTTGAACTGACACAAAGGAAGAGAAAAATGAAGGGAACTATCAATAGAAAATGTAAAAATAAGATAATATGACTAAATCATCCATAAAATTACAATTAAGAGCTTGAGTTTCGGTGCCGGGATGGGCCGGTGCTTTTGCGTTCGACGAGCAGGGCCTGCATGCCGCAGTGCGGATGTGAGGGTACGTCTCCACCCTCGTTTAACCACGATTTGGGTTTCAGCAGCTGCATGAAGACAAGGGGGGGGGGGGGGCAGCCCATCCTCAGCTTCCTCCTTGTCCCATCGCTGGATGTGAAGGCAGCCGAGCTCCAGAACACCCCATGGGAACAGGAGACCTCAGCTTCTAGATCCGCGTCTCCACACCTACCCTCCATCATTCATAGCTATTCCACTTACAGCCCCCCTCCCACATACACAATATGGGCTAAAATTCAATTTACCAATGTTCACATTCTCTAAATTGCCCAAGAATAAAATGCTTATCGATAATAATACTACTAATAATACTCCTTATCTTATCTGCTGAGGAGAAAGCCCAGTCGTGCATTAAAATAATATCCTTGATGCTGTACCAGTGTCATGACAACCTAAACCACTATTTAGTGAGCGTAGTCAGGGATAAGCTGGATCTGGAGTCTAATTGCTGGGAACATCCCACATTAGTCTCTGTATCTGTAATAAATCCATCTCTCAGACACAAGTTAAGTGACATTCGAATTGGATAATTATATTCTTCTTATTTTTATTAAGGAGAGCAGACAGCTACAGGAGGACATAAGGTCTCCAAGCTGAATTTACCTCATGCTCTTGAACTGAGAATTAACTTCTGTTAGTCCCTTAGCCGTGGGATGGCGGTCTAGATACATTATTAACTGACCCCGACCAGTGTGGTCACCTAGCTTCCCATCGCCAAGGTAACAATCGGAGGCGGTCAAGCTCGGGGCGGGAAATGGACGGGCAGATAATGAGAGCATAGCAGGATTCCGCGGCGTGCGGCCGAAGGTGAGTGCATAGCTGCTGTCCAGCTCGCCACACACTCCCACGCTGCACCGGAAGGTCGGGTGGCCTCCTGTTGCTGTGTGCTGCCTGGACTGGGGGCTGCTGGGGGCCTCACGAGCACACGCATGCACACATTTACAAGAGCAGCTCTGACTTCAAGACTTTTCTCTAATGCATACACATTGTTTTTATTACAAGAACAATGCACAGACCCTGGTTATGATTTGATAATTGAGCTGTTAAAAAATTGGAATGGGGCAGCAGGGCGGACCTGTAATTAGCATGGTTGCGTCACATCTCTGGGACCAGGGTTCAAGTCTCCACCCTGACTCTAAGTGTATGGAGGCTGTCTGTTCTCCTCATGTCATTATGAGGTTTCCGTTGGGTACTGCGGTTTCCCCACCCAGTCCAAAAAAACGCTGAGGTGAATCGGAGTTCTCAAACTGTGCGTGTAAATGCTGTGTTTGCCCTGCTACGGGTTTGCCTTGCACCCATAGGCTCAGGAACCCTGCGTAGGCCATGCAGGGATGGAAAACAGATGGATAATAATAGTTGTCAAAATTATTATTGGTTTCAGATCTTCTTCAAGTCTCATTTTCCAGCCTGTAGCATCAGGTTTTGTTTGTGCTACAAAGGGGAAGCGTGTATCTCCGCAATGAAGAACCAGCAAGCGAGACCATTCTCTCGCGGTAAACAAAAACACAGGCGTGACATTTTCTTGCGGCGGGGAAAATAATCAGAGAGACACTGATAAAATGGGGAGGCAGGCCGGCGTGATGAGTACTGCTTGGGCGTCATGGCCCCATGACGTGTCAATAGGTACCGTCAAGCACAGCAAAGCAATGACTTGCATTTTTGTTTTTTAAATGCATCTGTAATTGATCGATTCCTGTTTTCTATGAGACTAACTTCATTTGGGCCGCAGTAATATTGTTTTGTGGCTACATTTACACATAGACAAATAGCGGGAATGTGCTGTGAAGAGAAGTGGTAGCAGAAAGAATGCTTGTTTAACCATGTAACTCAATTTGAAATGCTAATGCTACCTTGGGCCCTGGGCCATATTACAACACTCCCTGTTTCTGGCAATTTACTTTTGGAGTTCAGAGCAGAGGAGCCTCGAACACTAATATTATACACTATGAATAAAATTAATTGTGAATGTTGACTAAAATTATTTCTGCGGCTCATCTGAATTTCAGATTGAATTCAAGCAGCTCTCATGGACGTGGTCCTCATGAATAAACTCCGAAGTTGTCGTGATCATGTGACAAGTCAGCTGACAGGAAGCTCCTGTCTGCATTCCTGGCTTTAACTGCCCGGGCAAAGGCTCATTGGATAGATGGGACCACTGTAGGTGCTGGGTGAAGGTTTCTTTGTTGGAGCCCACCACAGAGAGGAGGCCAAAGAGCAGCTGCACGCCGCTCACTGAGGCCTGAAGAAAGGTCAGGACTGCTTTTGGAAAGCCGCAGAGACACACAGGCAGGGAAGCCATTCAGGTCATGGCTGAGAAATGGCATGATGCAGAGTGGCCAAGACCTTGGGCAGAGGAGCCTGAGATCTTTATTGCTCCCCGGCAGAGGAAAAGACAACGGAGATATTTACTAGGGAACCACAGAATTTTACAGCTGATCCCCTGAAAGACACACTTGAAATATTTATTGAGGAGCAGCAGGAACAAAAAATAATATTTAATAAAGAGGGAAAAAGAGAGGAACTGTGGTATAATGAAAGCAGCTCCGAGGTCTAGAAATGCCCTGGCTTTGCGTAGAGGGACAGACCACACGCAATAACGATTTCCCACCTTTTCATTATATAAAGGATGTTCTGAATGTCAACTGTCAGTCAGTTTCATTAGAACTTTTAGACATTTTCAGACCATAATTTCCTTTGCCTTTCAGCACAATATTTAAATGAACAGCAAACAAGACAGACAATAATAATAGAATGGGAAGAGAGCGAGACAACCTGGAAATATCGAGACTCCAGGAGGGGAGGCACACAATAATTATCATTTGCCGTTTCGTTATATAAAGGACGGCTTGAAAGTCAGCTTTCCATCATCTTCATTAAGAATTTCAGATATTTCTAGAGAATCGTCTGCTTTCCCGTTTCCCTTTCAGTACCAAGAAATGAACGACAAACCAGACCAAACAATATCCAGCTGCTCTCGCTTTTAGAACTTCAGAAACAGCCCAGCTTGCTATGAGCACAAAACACCAATTTATTTGTTATGAACCAGAATAAGAACAGGTGTGGTCTGGAGCAACTGCACACGGCCATCATAATTACCGCAAATTTATGTAAAAACACCGACTTCCCGTCCCGCTCCTCTCACTGTCGGAAACCTTCATTCTGTTGGGGGGCACCGTTACTTCCCAAACCGGGGAGAACCACTGTCCGTCTCACGGCAGTCACTTAAAAGCTCCACAGCTGCAGAGCGCAGGCACTACACATCCGGGTCCATCGCTAATTCCGTCTCCCCGGCAACCGGCCCCCGAGCGGAGATTCGGGGCTTGCTGATGATGTTATTCATGGTGTCTGCGGCAAACGGCTTCCCTAATTAAAATTTATGGCGCTCTCTGCCCGCTGTCCTCAGCCCATCACTCCAGCCGGAAAAAACTCCAGATTCTCCTCTTCTGCACGGCAGACCGGAAACTTTCCGTGGAGTTGGGAAGTGGGCCGTGTCAGAGTCTTAGAAAAATGTGCATTTTTCTAAATCTCCTCCTTAAATAACAGCTCTACTGCCTTGGAATCAGCCATCCTGCTTTTTCCCGGAGGAGGGCAAGATTGCACCCTCCATCACCGTCTGGACAGTAAATGACCTCGTCCCGGGATAGGGCGTAAATCAGCCGTTAACTGACAGGTAAATACAAAAAAACCCTCGGGACTGCAGGTGCACTTGCGGCTAAATGATCCTCACACTGTTCCTGAAGCAGGAACTGGTAACGACCGCCTCAGACTGGTGGTAGACGGATGAAGGGATGCCTCTGCCCCGGCGGAAAGAGAAGCAAGCGCAGCCGCACTTGGCCTGTCAGCGAAACGCTTTAGTTTTAAAGTGAAACGGGACAGAGATCAGCTCCTGTTCTGTGTGGCTGCTGCTCATCCAGCCGGCAGTGACTCTCAGACAGCATTCTCTGCAGGAGAGACGGGCCCTAGACAGCCGTCTGTGCGGAGTTGTCCGGTCAGGAACGGGATTGTCAATCCAGACACAGAAGCACCAATCCAAACACATAACTGCTAACCGTGCCTAGATCACACACACACACACACACACACACACACACGCATGCACGTGCCACAAAATCAAATATTAAACAAGTACTTTGGAGATATTTTGGAGATTCTAAAGAGGCATGTCCGTTAGCCTGATAGTTAGTACAGATAGTTAGCAATGACTACTCGCTCCCTATTTATTTAGTTTTTAATCATCCGAGGGCGGCAAAGTGAGTTTTTTTTGGTAGGTCCCAGGAAACAACAAACCCACCCTTGCACACACACACACACACACACACACACACACACTAAGCTTCCAAGATATTTATTAAAACTAGACTTGCAACTAAAAAGCTGTTTGATTTCCTGTTTCATGTCTCTTATTTGGTGCCACTTACAGGCGGTTTGCAGTATTTGGAAAGGGTTACTACACAGTTTGACCTGTCAATCAAAGCGATCTAAAGAGGAAAGGACACATGATGGCATGGATAAAAAAAAAAAAACACGAAAGCTTTCACTCTGTTTTCCTCCCTTCGAGGAGGTTCTGGTGATGGATCCATTTGCGCAACTGTGTTGAGTGCTTTTCTTCAATGGACCTCTAACACTGCAGCGATGAGGGCTCTGGTTTTCTGTGTGTTAGGGGAAAAAAATATAGAAGGAAACATACACAAGACTGCAGATTCTCATAATGATATTTGGTGCTTTCAAACAAGTAGATAAATATCACCCCCTGCTGGCTGGTATTTAAAACTAAGATATATCTTTTTTTTTTTTGTTTTGCCCCATAGATTCATGTCATCTTATTCACAGATGAACCACTTGGTCTCGTAGACGTATGGGAATTCAGGGATGGGCATGGAGGCCGTTTACTCACCCCCTGCTGACAGGTGTATTAGTGTCACATATCTCAGACTTATGAAGGCCGCGCCTGACATTCCTCCTTGTTCTGGGGGAGGTTCCCATCCCCGCGTCCAGGTCCAGGATCTCGTTGTCATCATGACGGTCCTTCGCCACTGACAAAGGATACGATTCAGCACGACCCGACAGAACCCATAAGAGATAAAGGTAGCCACGTCAGATCGACACATCATGGCCCAGTGGCTCATGGGAAACTGTCACTGTGACGTACTGTCAACCGTGGCGGGAGGGGGGCCTGGTGACAGGAACGAGTGTTCCCATCTCGTCCCAAAGGATTGCTGGGGGTTGGTCACAATGTCTGGCTTCCGGAATGCCTCCACGGGGGCCAGCTTGTATAAGTGCAGACTGCTGAATGTCCCTGGGTGCACCAAGGGAGGGGGGGTGGGGACACTGAGGACCTACTAACAAGGCTACACAAGCAATTTTGACCTATGACCTGCCACCATGATGCATTAATTTCGGCTGCCAATGGTGTGTTATTATGTGAGATTAAACTGGCTTGAGTCTCACCACCACACTTTGGAGTCTCCTCATAGCTCTGGCTCGCACTTTCTAGGGGCCTCCTCCTTTCTTTGTAGCTGCTCCCCAGGATGGAGCTCATCCCGGTAGTCCTGAGCATGAGGAGTACATGGAGTGATGCACAGGGAGAGAGGCAGGCTACTGCACAGAGATAGAGAGAGAGTGGCAGGCTGCTGCACAGAGATGCACAGGGAGAGAGGCAGGCTGCTAGAGAGAGAAAAAGCCAGAGTGTCACAATGAGATACAAATAGAGGCTGCTGCACAGAGATAGAGAAAGAGAAGCACAGAGAGAGTGGCAGCCTGCTGCACAGAGATGCACAGATATGGGCAAGCTGCTGATTACAGATGTATAGGGGAGCAGGCAGCCCCACAGATATAGACAGATAGGGGCAAGGCTGCTGCACAGAGAGGCAGCCTGCTGCACAGAGAGGCAGCCTGCTGCACAGAGAGGCAGCCTGCTGCACAGAGAGGCAGCCTGCTGCACAGAGAGGCATAGTGGTTTTTCCCATTAAATTGCCTCGTCTTCACTAGCAGCAGCAAAAGCCATTTCTGATGCTCATACACCAGCACAAACCGCAGCAGACCTTCAGAGTGCTGCTCCATCCCTGCTGGGGAGATCCCAGGAGATCTGGGAGAGGAGGGAAAGTGGGGAGGATTCTGGGAGCGCTCTGTATCTCTCTCAGGCCTGTGCTCGCCGGTCTTGCACAGACAGTTAATGAGGCTACATCGAGCTGCTGATTTCATTCCGACTGCAGCCTGACTGACGTCTCCATTGTCCTCAGTTGTTTGTGACTGAATATGTTAGGTGTTTTTATACTAATAAAAAAGCAAAGATATTTTTCACCTCCTCTTATCTTCATACAATACCATATCAAAGCCACTTACGGCAAATTAATGAAACCCTTTCTGAATTCTTAAATGAGCAATTTTATAATTAGTGTATGCTTTCATTAAAATGATCTCAATTGTGTTCTTTTGCCGAAGGACACAAAACTGATAAGTTGAAATGTTACATTTGGCACATATTTGACCGCAAACGTCTTAAAGCATCAGCGGCTTGTAGCTGCTGATAGACTGATGACCAAATTAGCTAATTAGTGAAATCATGTTGGAAACAAAAAAGCGATGGAGGGTGCAAGCAAAGGCACACACCACACATCATGTATGGCTTGGGGGGGGGGCCGCATTTGCAGGGTTTGGAGCCCCGGGAGTGTCACTGTGTCACACTCACAGCTGGCCGGGGGCCATTTCCGTCATGGGGTGTCCTGACTCCCGGACCTCACTGTCCATCTCGAGGTTCTGAGGACTCCCTCGCAAAGGGGCTTCAGGGTCTGGGGGGGTGGATTGGAGCTTCTCTCCACCACTCAGGGCCTCATTCCACCTATCCGGCAGCTGGTCTGGGATTTCTAGAATGTTCCAGTGCTCCTCCTGCATTTGGTAATGGGGAGTTAGGCAGGAGGCTGAAGCTGAGGGGAGCGAAGGACACAGTTGCAAGGAGTCCGGCTGTTATGTGTTGACGAGCTAACTGGTGTCACTGGGAATGTGCGTCTTTACCTGTCCGAAGGCGGCGACGATGGTGCCGGCAAGCTGGCTGAGCACGAGCCTCCGGTCGGCAGAAGCCGACAGCAGGAGCAGCCGCCCATGACGGCAGCAGGTCTCCAGCTGTGTCACGCAGCCCGTGTGCGGCCGGAAGCAGGACCGCAGCTTGGGGGGGTGGGTGAGCGTGCCCCGACCTGGCTGCAGGCCGTAGTCCTGGGGGAGGGGGTCACAACCGGCATATGGACCGGAGGATTACACACCATTAATAAGGCAATATTGTCAACATCGTAGCTTGTTTGCTAACTGTTGCTCACTGCAGGTGCCGTAAAACTTGCCGTGGGGGGGGGGGGGTGCCAGGAAATCATTCGATGGGCCAGATTTAAGGTCTTATTTTTTCTCCAGATGCCATTGGTACAAATGTCAAGGCGAGTATAAAAAAAAAAAAAAAAACGGCATGGCTTGGAAAAAAAAATATATATATGTATTGTTATATATGTTATTTTTGGAAATGAACCAATCCCTCCTCCAAATGCCCCAGCATACTGAGGCACGGTTGGGGCCGGGCAGCCACAGGATCGCAGCCCGTTTACTGACGAAGAGGCTGGTACGCCTGACCGACAGGCGCTAAACAACGAATGGCTGGCCTGTCCGTCAAACGCCAGGGAGCGGGAGGGGCCCGCAGGCGCGGCGGGATGTGTGGGCAGGCAGCGTCAGACACTAATGGAACCTTGCACCTGCGGGCTCAGGATGACGGGCACGCCTGTTCAGGAGTGCCTGCAGCGAGCAGTCCCAGGAACTATCATGACTTATTAAGCCAGTAACGCGAAAACGCTCCTACGATCCGTCCTCGGCAGTGCGCTCGGCCGGCTTTCGGTGAGGAGGTTTGCGGATTGACAAACAGCCCCCACGCCGGTAATCAATCACGGCACCCCGTCGTCACGGTTACTTTACTCTCAAGGACAAGAGCTCACGTCTGATGTGGCTTCAGAGGGGGCCGGATATTTCTTAAAAGCCTGCCTGTCATACATCTCCGATGGAAACTTGATGCTTTTAAACACCTGGGGGGGGGGGGGATTGAATATTATATTTATAGAGGCAGACTTCGCGCCCCAGGGATCCAATTCCCCTGCACCCCCTAATCTTCCGGCTTGTCTAATAGCTGTCCTTCATCTGTGTCAGTGATGTTACGAGATGTGACTGAGCGACCTCCTCTTTCCCCTATCCAGGTTGACATCCCTCCATCTGAAAAGTCCGGAACTTTCTACTGCCCAGGAAAGAAGCTGGACCCACCCCACAAGGTGTAGGGGGGGGATGTTCTGTGCTGCACCTTGAGTGAACACTAGGTGGCCCGACGGTTAAGGAGCTGGCCGTCACTCCTTTGTCTTCCTCTCTCACCTGGATGTCCCACACCTTCACCTCCCCGTCCATGTCTCCTGTTATCAGGTGTCCTCCACTCCGGTCGACCGTCATGATGATGGAGCTGGAGCTAGCGTGGGCCACGAAGCGGGCCACCAGCAGGCCCCGAGTCGCATTCCAGAACCGCACCACAGCCGCGCCGCCACACGACACCAGGTCCGCCCCACCTAGGCCACGCCCACACGTCATCATCGCCATGCAGGCCGGAGAATGCACCACCTCCAAGACGCTCATCAGATGCTGTGTGTTAGTCATGTCTCCTGAATTCTATTTTATTCCCGGATCATCCTGTTCGAACCTCAGTGGCATCAACACCACACTATATTTAGTCTACGAAAGCTCAGATTCTTTACATAGGAAATATCCGTTAATCCTATTTCAAAGCTTAGCTCTAATGGGGGAAGCAAAGCCGAACTCCTAATGAAGTGCACACTGGGACTGGCAGGACCTTGGGGTGTGAAGCCATGATCTAATGTTTCAGAATGCAGCACAATCTGTGTCTGAGGATATTCCAGAAAGTGTCTGGAGTAATGTTTCGGAAAGTGCTATAAATAGTGGACCGGGGTGCAAACTGTAATGTCACAATCTCACTCTACCTGCAGTAGCAGCACTCCTTCTCCCTTCTAGGAAACATAGCCTAGTGACTGCATGACTGCCCTCCAGGTCCTCCCATCCACCAGGGGCAGTAGAGAGCAGTGGCACTTCATAGACCACGGAGGTGTCACACGTAGGGACCGATGGCATGTGCTGCTTCAGCAGCTCCTCATCTATAGAGTAAAGACCACCATGAACATGATTGAATATTCAATGCTCATTGAAAAAGCCCTTTGAGAGGAAAATCGGAAAATAAATAAATCACCTCAGAGAATTCCTGCTCATGCTTCTATCGGCAAGACAAATGGCTAATCCTGCAAAGCTCAACCCTCTCGTGGGGGTGGGACATGGTGGGGCTGTGCTAATCCCTTAAAGCACTGCCCTCTCAGGGGCAGGACAGGGTGGGTCTGTTCCAATACCTTAAAGCTCCACCCTCTCGTAGGGGTGGGACATGTTGAGCCTGTGTTAATCCCTTAAAGGGCCACCCTCTCTGCAGTGAGACACGGCGGGCCAGTACCAATCCCTTAAAGTTCCGCCTTCTCTCAGGGGTGAGACACGGTTAGCCTGTGCAAATCCCCTAAAGCTCTGCCCTCTGTCAGGGGTGACACACGATTAGCCTGTGCCAATCCCCTAAAGCTCTGCCCTCTCTCAGGGTCGAGACATAGTTAGCCTGTGCTAATCTCCAAAAAGCTCTGCCCTCTCTCAGGGGTGACACATGGTTAGCCTGTGCTAATCCCCTAAAGCTCTGCCCTCTCTCAGGGGTGAGACATGGTTAGCCTGTGCCAATCCCCTAAAGCCCCGCCCTCTCAGGGGTGAGACATGGTTAGCCTGTGCCAATCCCCTAAAGCC